ATACTTTGAATTTAATATTTTTTCAGTATAGTTACAAAATTACAAAAAACGGCTATTTTAAAGTGTTATCATACAATAACAATCTATATTCCTTTCTTTAGAGCATTGTCTGTATGTTTACTATTATAATTATAACACCGCAATTAATATTATATAGAAAATAATTGAATTAATTAAGTTATTAATTAATAATTCAATTAATTAGAATTAATTCAATTAATTCTTATAACTTTAGATAAGATTCCAACACAATACAATAAACACATGTAATGCAATAAGTGACTCTTTCAGAAATGTAAAGCATACCCTTTTTTCCTCAGTAGAGCTAATTAAAATAGAATAGTTAAGGAATTGTCCTACATAACTATAATATTTAAAACATGAATACGTTTCACTCATTCGATCGTATCCGTAACCTTTTTTTGTAGTAGGTTGTATAATAAATAAATAAAATTATTTCTCCAATATAAAATTCAACCGGTTTTTAAGAGTTTACAAAAATACACAAAATTGTATTGGAGACTGTCGCCTGAATTAAGTTGAACTTGGTCCATATTTCAAGTTGTCCCGTACTTCTTCCTTAAATGCCTTATTTTAAACATTTTATTTTTAATAAAAAAAACTTTACAATACAACTCTAATTCTTACTGAGTATTGAGAAAAATTTATTTTATTTAAAAAAAATTAATGTAGGTATTGAACGTTTGTGAACTACATATGTTCTGAAAAATGGCTAACTTGCGTAATAACCTTAGCTAAGCGTTTTCATCGAATAACTTATAGATGAATTTTGACATTTTCTAATAAAAAAATAACACGGAACATCTTTAGGCTCATTTTTTTAATGATTATGTGGTTTCGTATAAGAAATGGCAACTAAGTCACCACTAACTGTATTTATTGTTGCAACGGCTGCTCTACAAAGGCCTTTTCTCCATTTCTGACACCTCCATATAGACTTGAAATCTTTTGCCTGATGAATATTATATTTGTAATCGCCAATCACGAGCAGCGGCTTCCCAGCTCTGGACTTCGCGAATGATACTAAAATTAGAAAAAACAAAATATTATATACATATTGTATAAATCTATGAAATTAACTATACTTTCAATAAACTAATTTTCTATTTGTATTAGCAATCATAAAAACACACAAAGAAAAACTATGTAAGTGGTAAATATTTAATATGACAATATACACATATTTTTCGTGTTCTATCATCAATATAATTACAGACGGCTTATAAATACTCGTTATTATTTAAAAATGTAGATGTTGATCTTTTAAATTATGTACAGTGTCTTCTACAGTAACGAAGGAACTCCTGCATCCTGCTCTCCATTTGACACATCTCCAAGTAGATTTTAGCCCCTTAGAATTGTATAAGTTGTATCTATGTTCACCGAACAAGACGACGGGCGTGCCGTAAGTAGAAGTTGTGAACACTGGAACTATTTACATTTATCGTGATGAATTTACATTAAAAAAAATACAATTAGGAATATCCTTGATCTTCTATCTATGTATATAAATAAAAAGGAATGTTGCTAAGCGCAAAACTCAAGAACAGTTCGACCAATTCAGCTAAATTTTTTTTTCGTATGTTCCTTAAGGTACACGGAAAGTTTTAATATACAGAAAAAATATAAAATAAGGTAAATCTATATGTCTATATATATGTATATAAAACAAAGTCGTGTTAGTTACACCATTTATAACTCAAGAACGGCTGGACCAATTTTTATGACATTCGATTTTATGGATTTCTCATCAGAAAAATTAACGAAAAAAATTTTTAATTTATATGGCTAACGCATGCTCATAACTACTTATATCTATTAAAACGTACCTAGCGACGAACCCGAGCGAAGCGAGTTCGAGCCGCTAATATATATATATATATATATATATATATATATATATACAAAATAAAGACTTAATTATCACTATTACACGTCATGATACAGCGTAATATTAAGTCAAGTATTCCTCCGCTAAATGTCCATGGCGATTTATATTGGCGATAAATCAACCAGCAAAGTATAGGTGAAAAGATGTTGTCTTTATAATGAAAAATATTAATGAATTTTAATTATAATAAAAATAATATATTTTTTTAGCTTTTAATAGTTATTCGTTATTAAAACTTATATTCATGTTACAAATGAATATTTCTCAAAATTTATTTACGTTTACATCTCCACATATTTGTAAATATATTAACCTTAATGTTTAATGCGACTATATAATACAGCGTATGTACAAGTAAATTAAATTAAGTATGATTATGATGGTTACGCATACAGAGTAATTTGTTTTTATGAGTTTTTAAGGAAGCTCTACATCCAAAACTCCATTTTACGCAAACGAAGAACCCAAAATCGCCTCTACTGTTGCTGTGCTGGTTAAATCGAAAACCTCGATATATTACAGCACATTTTCCAGACCTTGTAGTCGTGAAAATAACTGTAATTATAATAAACATATTAAAAATGCTTGTCAATCTCAAGAAATATTTAAAATAAATTAGTAATTTGTATATACAAATGAATGTTTTAGAAATGTATGTATATTTGTATTCCTATATCATGAATAATATTGCGATGAAACTGGTAAGAAGGAGTGCAAGCTCGCAATGTTTTTACCATAATAAGCGCCCAATACTCGTAGATACTGCGAGTCGTATCGGTCGTCGTCCACTGCCCACTAGCCGACTTCTCGTTCAACGCTCGGCAGTCCACATTCGTTTTCATAAGGGAGTGGAGGAGAGTGAGTCAATAAAAAAGTATGTTATAAACTTAAATAATATTTTTAGACAACTTATGGCAATCAAAAATGATTGGCATAAATAAAATACTAAAAATACACGAAAATACTAGAACTTTAAATATACTCGTAGTTTATATTTCTTTAATGTGTATGGATGTCTTTGATTTTTACAATTTCTTCATCTATGGTTAATAAGTACGCTCGACATTGACAAGGGGTGGACCATTTTGAACAATTCCACCGTTTCTTCGGCCCTGTAGTTATATTTAAGCAATATCTGTATCCTCTATATTGAATTATAGGGTTACCTCTACGAGACTTTACAAGTGTAAGTTGATCTGAAAAATATATTCATATAAAACATACAATTATAATGAAGTAGTAACGATGAGTATCCCTAGTCCATGTAAATTTTCACTTTGTTTGACGGTTTATAATTCGTATTTTTTTTATCAAACAGTCTATAGTGTAAGTTTAAGACAGAATAAATTCGATCTTCGTACGATATTGACGTGTCTTTTTATCTTTTCAAGCTGTTATTAGCATTTGACAGAAAATAAAGGTAAACTACTTAAAATAAAATTGTAAGCCACATATCAATAAGTGTTTTCGTTCTCGATATCTAACCACAATGAAATGAGCATCAACAAAATAGTTATCATGAACTAAATTTAATTTTTGTAATAATGGTACTGTCGTTCCTCTTTCAGCGCTAGTAATTAACCCAACTTGCTTCTCACCAAGAGGTGCTAATATCTTCGGAGTAACAAGGACAACAAAAGACATTTACAAAGGACTTTCTAATAAATGTGAAAATTGTCAAATGTTATGCTCACGGTATGTATATTGAACACCTATCAAAAACAATTCGTTCTACTATCGCTTCCTAAATAACCGCAGCCAATAATTTCTAGCCATTTTATTAGTATCCCAGCTCTTAGGGTACTTCTTTCTATTCATTTTTGCAATTTGATATGCAAGTGTTGTCACTTCTTTTAAAATCAGTCCAAATTGTAAGTGTGCTGCGTCTTTAATATAGTCAACCAGACTACGTTCTTCTTTACGATCAAAAACTTGATTAACTGCAAGATTATCGTGTAATTTACTTAGATCGTTACATGTTTCCATACAGTGCTTTAAATGACGACGCAAAGTAATGTTATTGATAATCCAAAATTTTTGGAAGCACCAAAAGTTGTGATTTTTTTCTCCTTAATCATTTTTATAGCACGTTGGTCGGACTCTAACCTCACATTGGATAGTCAGCAGTGATATACCGAATATCACAGACATTACCATTTAATAGCGCCGTAATATTAGAAACGAACCAAATGGGGTGTACGTACTTAGGTACACATAGTGCCGAGGAACAACTGGTTCCCCTATATATGGACACTATCCGTCCATACTAAAACCCCATATAAAAGTAAAGTATAATTGATTAAAGATTTAATTGTATAATAAATATGAAATTACTATTGCAGGGCATAAAAAGAACTTTATATGTTTAAAATATTTTTTAATCTTATTAATGATTGTGTTCACTTTTATGTTTAATTATAGTATCATCAAACGTAATAATGACAGATCTGCAGCCTTTAGCACATTTGCTGCACACCCAACGCTTCTTGAGCCCCACACTCTTCCTTTTTTGTAAACTAAAGTTATAGCGCCCTACTTGAATCATTTGATTTCCACGAACAGATACAATGAACTTTGGTATATCTGGAAGCATAATCTATTTTATTTTATGAATAAATACACTAATATCAATAAAATCACTTAAATATTAATTATTAAAATAGGGAGGGTTATGTCGCTCTGGTTCAGATGAAGAGCACTCTTAAGTACCTTTAATGAATAAAAACAGAGGTAAGATAGGTCCCGTACATCCCAAAATGCAAAGCTTCTAAAGAACAAAAAATCTTTAATGTTATTCAAAACTCATTTAATTAAAAAAGAGTCGTCAAATGATTATTTGTTTTACATACATATGTATGTATTTGGTCTCCTTGAATTAAATATTATGGTAAAGGAGGTTTTAAATACCATATCATTAGATTAGACTATAATGTATAATAAATAACATTTATTTCTAATAATAAATAACAGTTATAAAAATATAACTAATTTCAAACTCAGGCTGCTAGCAAGCAAAATTAGAACAGTAGTTTAAAAAAACAATATAAAGAAAGCGTATTTTAAACGGAACTTTAACAAAATATTATTAGTGGTTATGCTCATTTCTAACTCTAATTATAACATTATCTAGTGTAGTAACTGAAGCTCTGCATCCTCTTCCACAGTGAGTACACACCCATCTTAATAAATGACTTTGACGTGTTTTTGAAAGGCTAAATTTGTATCCATCTAATAGAAGCATTTTATTGCCACGTGACGATATCACAAACTGAGCAACATTTTTACCTGAAATAAGAGAAACAAAGTATATAATACGTTTAATTTTGGAACACAAGTGTATATTATTATTATTACCTTTTCGGATTTCTTATCGCCCGTGACCATGACCGACGTGACATGACATAATATAAAGCATTCAAAATGTCTGCAACCCAAATATCAAAATCCAAAAAGATAGTCCAAAAAGTCCGAAAAGATAGTTTTATTTAAAATATTAACTATTTATTCGCGTAAATATTTTATAGCTCTTGTGAATGTTTTTGAGACAGTATCATTAAAATACAATAGATTGCGCGCGACTCGCGCAGTAGCGCGCAGCGCGAGTCGTATATATCTTGAGGTTCTTTTGAGTTTAATTGGTTCCTAGTAAGATTAAAAAAAAAACCTTTTTTATTTTATAATCTATTGAAAATAGTTAAAGACTATGTATCTAAGCACACACCACGCCGCTCAAGAGAGGAGTAACGAGTAACACAAGTCAAACACATAGCAGTCCTTTGGGATTTGCCTCATTCGAGTAAAAAGTACGATAACCGTGAGAAAACTATAGAACAATATCTACAAGGTCAGATATAAATAAATAAAATTATATACTCGACAAAAAATAATAATTCAGCGTTTAATGATTATGCCAATTATTTATTTTCACAATTACATCATCAACAGTTATAACTGTAACTCGGCACCCGGCTGCTTTCCTCCTGGTGCACTCCCAAATACTTTTTGATCCTTTATTTCTATTTCTCCAGAACTTATATTTTCCCATTACAATAACAGATCTTCCATATCGCGATTTTGTGAAAACAGCTCCTAAAATCAAATATTTAAATTATGTGCATAACACTAAAACTTGACTCATACTCAATTTCTGTGTGAAGAAAAGTCATCTTCCAGTGTGTCTCTTGACATCTCGCCCAGCTAGATTGCCGGACGCTAATGAGTCCCCCTACCACGACAAGGTGAATGGGGGGACACTCTGGGGGGGACCAATAGTTAACCAAACCCAACATTTTAAGATATAATTGATTCATAAAAAAATACAAATTAGCTTATTTAGTCTATCGAAAAAATTAAAAGCATTTTCTTATAAAATAAATTGATATTGTAGCTTACTATCATGAAATTTGTAATATCAATCTATTTAAATTTATTTATTAATTAAATTCTTAAAAAAATCAATGAGTGTGGGTGTCATTTAAACGATTAATTTCATTTTCGATTGTAGTTATTGAGGCTCGGCACCCGTAACCCCATTTCACACACATCCAGAAGGCTTTGGGTCCTTTGCACCTGCTATGCTTATTGTATCGATGCCTTCCAATTTCTATCACAGGCTTTCCACATCGCGACGTTGCATACACTGGTCCTAATGAAGTTTAATATAAAATAATATTTGTTAGTTTGTTGACAACATCTTAACATTTGTTGAAAAGTTTGAATGGGTTTTGAAAATAGAATATAAACATGTCTATTTAAATACACCTATCGTCAAAAAAGTCCTTGAAGTTAATTTTTCTATTGGTTGCTATACTAAAATACTTCAGATATCTATCTACATCCCTCCCACCTATTTTGATATTGGATTAGTGGTTTTAGAAATAAGTATAGTTCATAAAATATTTCTGAATAAAAATACATCGAATTAGATTTTAAGTACCTTTAATTTATTATGTACATTATTTTACAGTTTTAGACATTAGAAGATATGTCAGTTTGTCGCTCTTGTTACAAAAGAATTGATGTTAGTATTTATTATCAATAAGGACAGAAGACCCTTTTTCAAATTCCTATAGAGCGTACTATTAGGTGAAGTCGAAAGTCAATGCGTAAAATATCTATATTTATCTAATATTTAATAATATTATAAATGTGAAAGTTTGTGAGTATGGAGAATTGTTACTCTTTCACGCCAGAACGGCTGAACGGATCTGGATGAAATTTGGAATAGAGATTAGAGATAGATTATAGTATGGAATAACACATAGGCTACTTTTTATCCCGGAAAAATGTATGGTTCCCGTGGGATATGTTTGTTTTTGTATAAAATATATAAAAATATTAAGAACTCATTAATAATGAAAAAAAAATTATACTCGATGTCCATGCGCAATTTCAATCAAGCTAACTTCACTCAAGCGCAATTAGCCTCGCGCGAACTTCACGATAGTTGGTACTATAGATAGAAATTTATGACCTTCAACCTTCGAATAGAGTTTCGACACGTTTCAATATCTGACGTAATCCGAATTGAAATAACTCGATTAACTCTTCGAGCAAAAACATTTCTAATGATTATGTTCATTACTCATTTTTACAATGACATTATCTATAGTGGAAAGAGTGGCACGACACCCGGCTGATTTAGACGAACACAGCCAAATCGCTTTCGTCCCTTTACTCCTGCAGTACTTATTATATCGATATTTTCCTATTTCTATAACTGGTTTTCCAAAACGAGACGTTCTGAATACTGCTACTGTAAACGTAAAGCATTCAAAAAATTTAATTAGTATTCTTTTGTTTAAAGTTTTGTAGATTTTATAATAAACGGGAACAATATTTTTATTATATATGTAAAAACATAGAATGTGATAAAATAAACATTAGGTTAATATATACTTACATATGTGTATCACATGTTTTAGTGTCATCATCGAAAATCATTGATGATAATATTGTGATTGTCTTATAAATATTGATTTTTTTTAAAGGGTGCACTGTTAACAACTGAAAGAAGTGATTGAATCAAAAATAGCCATAATTATATACTGTTAATAAAATAATTTTTATATATGTACAATGTACATAAATACAATAGGATAGTCAAAAATAATTACTACAAGAAATTATTTCTAGCAATTATTTCTAAGAAAAGTGTTATCTTGCTCTTCCAAAGCAAATTGTTACATAACGTTTAAGGGTTGCCTACCATTTATTGCCTTAACATAATTGTATACAACAGAGAAGATAATCATACGACCATTCATTTTCAGCCTTTACCTTCAACTAGCTCTTACTTAAATAAGTAAATGATGGAAGAAAATAAAAAAAACAATGAACATTTAATGTGTATGCACATTTTTAATTCTAATTATCATATTATTATACGTTGTGATAGTAGCGCGGCAGTCGCATTTAGTTTTTGACGAACATATCCATAGAACCCTCGGGCCTGTACTCCTACAGTGCATGTTGTACCGATACCCTGCAACTTCCATTACAGGTTTTCCGAACCGAGAGGTTTTGAATACTATATCTGCAAAATCAAGAGTATATAAATAATATATTAGTTTGCTAAAGAAAGTGTTGTTATATTTTTGTTTTTATGTTAACGCATTTGTACATACTGAAAGGAAAAATGACGCAATATTCTTATCATAAAATCAAAAAAAAGTAGGGCTAATTCGGTTCCACAATAAAATATAAAATACTAAATACTAAGTTCTACTTAATAATTACCACATATAAAAGGTAAACCGTTTTCATATTTACTTAAAACCCTGTTTTTTTTTGAAGTGAAATTTCTTTAGAATCGTGGTGATTTGAAAATCAATGAAACGAAAATGCGACACTAAAAAGAGACAAACACTTACTCGTAAATATATAGAATTAAGCCGGCGAGAGTACGAGATAGAATACATAGCCATGTTGCCATGGTAACCGTTGTTATTGTCTGATAAATATATAATATTATATGCTTTCCGTATATGATATTCAATAAATATATGATTGTAATATGCCTAATATGCTTTATTTAATTATTGATTTGTTTTAATTTAATTGCGATATTTGCCAAAGTTTTACTTCAACCGTGCGTAAAAGTTACATGCACCCATATTTTTTGAGTACCGTCTCCTTTTTTAGGTTAGTCAAAAAGTCGGTTTTTGCTACAAGTACCTTATTTAAAACCATTGTAAAGTTAAATTAAATAAAAAATTAGTATGATGCGAGACTTTACAAATTAAATAAAAAATTAAGATTTCTCAATAATAAAACGAATTTTATATATATATATATATATATATATATATATATATATATTTATATATATATATATATATATATATATATATATATATATATTTATATATATATTCTGAATTATAATAAAATATTTAACATTGTATAATAAAATTACATTTAAATAATAAAATAACACAAAAATATCAATGTGAATGTTTGTTATTTATTTTAACAATAACATCATCTATGGTAGTAAGAGAAGCTGGACAAGTATTACTAGTCATTGAAGAACACCGCCATAGTGCTCTTGGTCCCTTACTTTTATAGTACTTATTATACCTATAATTTCCCATCATTATCACTGGCTTGCCATAACGAGAAGTTGAAAAAACTGCTCCTAAAACGTTAAATTTTATATAACAATAACAACATTTATGTGAAATATAACTTATATGTGAAATATAATATATATATATATATATATATATATATATATATATATATATATATATTCTGAATTATAATAAAATATTTAACATTGTATAATAAAATTACATTTAAATAATAAAATAACACAAAAATATCAATGTGAATGTTTGTTATTTATTTTAACAATAACATCATCTATGGTAGTAAGAGAAGCTGGACAAGTATTACTAGACATTGAAGAACACCGCCATAGTGCTCTTGGTCCCTTACTTTTATAGTACTTATTATACCTATAATTTCCCATCATTATCACTGGCTTGCCATAACGAGAAGTTGAAAAAACTGCTCCTAAAACGTTAAATTTTATATAACAATAACAACATTTATGTGAAATATAACTTATATGTGAAATATAATATACATATTTAGAATTTTTGTGCATGGCTATGGTATCTATAATTATACCTATTATAGATTATTATTCATTCCCACTCTCCAAACAATATACATAAAAATCTTATGTACAATTTTTTTTAGCAACAGGTTTACATTACTGTAAGGTATTTAACAAAATCACATTTTACCGTTGTTTTATCGGACTGTACTTTTTTTACGAAACACTTTTGACTTTTTTACATGTACAGATTAAGTTTAATTTCAATACAATACAGATTAATTTCGATACATGAAGTAATTTGTGAGATGTTACTAAGAGACGTCAAAGCTAGTGCGAGCCAATAGTAAATAATAAAAATCAAAGTAAAGGAAGTGCGGGGTTATACTCGAACAAGAACGATTTCCTACAAACGTTTACTCTTCTAGATATCTAAAAAATACATAAAAAATGCTTAAGTTATGTCATTCCCATACAACTTTTAGTTTTCTAAAAGCATAGACAGTTGCAGAATACGGCTTGCCTGATTTATGAATAACATTACACCGTACACGTTTCTACATATTTAAAGTGGTATTTGCCTATTCTTCCACTTTTAAACAACACCATTTTTACATATTGGTGCTATGAAAAAGAAACAAAATAAAAAAGACGTACAATGGGTGCCAATTGATAAGAGTAAAATAAAACAAACCATAATTCAGAATTAAAACTTTTAGGTACGGTAATTTTTAGGTAAATATGTTAAACACATATTCAAAGTGATTTTGCTGAAATTGTGCCTTTTCCACGCAGATAGTAACATTCATTTACATTTTTAAACAAGACAATTTATATGAGGGTAAAAACCGAATATATAAAACAGTACTGTACCTCAACTACACACAATTGTTCAAAACAATGTATAATATATAGTAATAAGTATATACAGTAAAGGAATAAAACTGTGGAAAGGATTTTTATTTTTTATTGCAATCTATGTATTTTTTTACATTTACCTCGCATATCTTCTGCTACTCCAGTTGGTGTCTTTTTGGCGATAACTGTTCTTATCGCTCTCGTGGTTATATCTAATGTACCAATAAAAAAATTTCTACAAATTCTAATTTTTTGATCCCTCACATAAAAGTAATAAGAATGATTGAAGTTTCGTCTAGTCTGAGTCAACGTGTATCTGTATGTTGGCCGTATTTCTTCAATTCTATCATAAATATATTGTCTTTGACGATTTATATTTCCTATATTCCAATATTCTTTAAAAAGTTGGTGTCGTTCATGATTAGATATATTTTCAGTACATTTTAAACGACAATTGGCTGGACACGGTGGTTTTACACACCTTGCTTGCACTACCGAGTTCTTTCTTTCATACGCTTGGCCAGTGTTTCTTAAATATTTGAGCTTATTCTGTTTCCAAGTGTCCGGATAAGATCTTCGTTTCTTCCTATTATATTTTCGAGTCGCAGATGACTCAAGTTTTTTAGTTTCTTCTATACTTGAAGAATTTATAATTTCCTCTAAAAGATCGTCTTCCTCGTTATCCGTATTATTTGTAGAGTATGAAGATGAAAACATAAAACATTTTACAACTTCCGTAGAAGCTTCTGGAAAAATCATAATAATAATTATTAGGCGATGTAGTTTATTAATGTAAATCCTTAAGTAGGTATATGTAATATAAATATTATATGTGCCCTTTTAATTTTATTATCAACCATTGAACTATTATAGTGTACCAAATAAATAACAAGTACATTCAAAGTATTAGTATTATAGTATAACAAAGTATAAATAAATGAATTAAATAGATGTGAATACGTACGAAGATAACAGTTAGGAGTAGTTGATGAATACCTTAAACCCATGCTCACTTGTCTCCTGTTGAAATTACATATATTCTATATCATCTTTTAGTATTTCATTGCTATATTAAGGCAATAGATATTGAAATGAACAACGCCAATTTATCAATAAAATTATTTAATAAAAAAGTATACAACATCAAGGAAACCATACTAGAGAAATACAACGTATTAATGATTATGTTTATCATAATATTTTACAAATTCACCATCAATCGTAGTTATGGTGGATCGGCAATTAGTGCTAGACACTTTAGTGCAGACCCAAGTAACTTTGGGCCCTTTACTTCTCCAGTATTTATTAAAACGATATTTTCCTAGTAATATAACGGGATTTCCGTAACGAGTGGTGCTGTATTTTAATTCTGAAAGAGATAATTGAAATTTTGTATAAAGTTTTAAATAATGCAAAACAACGTGTGTTTTTTAAATGTTTGAGCTTATTGTTTCTAATTATCCGGATTAATTAGAACTTCGTTTCTTCCTATTATATTTTTGAGTCACAGATGACACAAGTTTTTAAGTTTCTTCGATACACGTAAAATTTATTATTTCTTCTATAAGATCGGCTTCTTCATTATCCATAATATTAGTGATTTTATATAATGTCTTTTAGTAAATAAATTAAGTATATCTTTATATGTATGAAAATAACAGGAGATGAGGAATACCTTAATCTACCTACCCTCACTTATTGTCTGTTGAAGTTTTATACATACATATATCCTGAGTCATCTTTTAGTTTTTCATTGCTATTTTACGGCAATATAATTTGAAATGAACAACGCCAAGATATCAATAAAATTATATAATAAAAAAGGATACATCATCAAAAGAACCATATTAGAAAATTTTATTATATTAATGATTATGATTATTATTATATGTTACAAATTCACCATCAATCGTAGTTATGGTGGCTCGGCAACTAGTGCTAGAAACTTTAGTGCAGACCCAAGTAACTTTGGGCCCTTTACTTCTCCAGTATTTATTAAAACGATATTTTCCTAGTAATATAACAGGATTTCCGAAGCGAGTGGTGCTGTATTTTAATTCTGAAAGAGATAATTGAAATTTTGTATAAAGTTTTAAATAATACAAAACAACGCGTTTTTCTCAAACGTTTGAGCTTATTCTGTTTCCAACTATCCGGATTAGATCTTCGTTCCTTTCTACTATATTTTCGAGTCGCAGATGACTCGATTTTTTTTGTTTCTTCTATACTCGTAGAATTTATAATTTCCTCTTTAAGATCGGCTTCTCCGTTATGCGTATTATACATTCAAAGTATAAGTGATTTTAAATATGTCTTTCAGAAATGAATTATAGAGATTTTTATATGTATGAAAATAACAGTAAGGAGTTGATGGATATCTTAATTTACCTAGTGATTCTGCGACGTCTTATTAAGACGGGGGAAGTTTTTTTGGGTGTTAGTAAGTAGTACTGGTTTTTTTAACCGATTAGTCCCACAATACCACCTGTATGTATACAGATGGTATGCGTAAAAACAGTTCCCAACATTAAAAAAAGATACCTTAATTAACCTATTCTCATTTATTGTCTGTTGAAATTTTATATATTCTATGTCAATTTTTAGTATTACATTGCTATATTAAGGCATATACTTTAAAATGAACAACGCCAATATATCAATAAAATTATATAATAAAAAAGGATACATCATCAAAGGAACCATATTAGAAAATTTTATTATATTAATGATTATGATTATTATTATATGTTATAAATTCACCATCAATCGTAGTTATGGTGGCTCGGCAACTAGTGCTAGACACTTTAGTGCAGACCCAAGTTACTTTGGGCCCTTTACTTCTACAGTATTTATTAAAACGATATCTTCCTAGTAATAAAACAGGATTTCCGTAACGAGTGGTGCTGTATTTTAATTCTGAAAGAGAGAATTAAAATCTTGTAAAAATTATATAAAACAAAACCACGCGCGGTTGTTTTGCTATGTTTCTAAAATACATATATATTCAAGCGAAATTTTGCTAAGCTAACAATTATTTATAAACATTATAATTTGTAATTTGAGGTTGGGGATTTGTTTAATAAATCACGGCTTTGGGGATGATTGTTGTAGAGTATTAAAAACGTCGGGAACCAAAAATCAAAATAAATCTGCGAAAGAAACCGAAAAGATGCGTTTTTTTTAAATTATAAATATTCGCGTAAATCTAAAATAGTATTAGTCAATGAAAATTCTTACCAATTTATTTAGGATATATATTTAAAAAAGGGTAAATTTTCTAAGCAAATTCAACAAAATGTCATTTAAATTGTTTTTTATAGCAATAGTTAGTGTTGCCATGCCGCTCAATTACAACAGCTAATAAATTGTTTTAAAAAGATAAATTTATAAATGATTATGCTCACAGTTTTGTCTAATAATCTCATTGTGTATAGTTATGAGTGTTGTTTTGCAATTAGTAGTCGACAATTTAGAGCACACCCATTTTGATTTCGGTCCTTTACTCTTCCAGTACTTGTGAAACCGGTATCGTCCTATTAAAATCATTGGCCTTCCGTTTCGTGAAGTTGAATATACAGCTATAAAACAAAGTAATAATTTGTTAATTTCTCAAAACATTTTATAGTGTAATTTTTCGAAATCAGAGGAAGAAAAATGTATCATTGTTTTAAAAAAAACTTCTTCATTCTTTTATACAGCAACACATCCACATGCGTTTTTCTATGGGATTTAATTTGGTCTTGATGAAAAATCGTGCTCAGTGAGAATGGCAATCATTTATTTTAATAATTTTTTCTTCCAATGTGTGAACAGTTGCTAAGCAGCCTCTACTTTTCATAGAACATCGCCATCGACCAATGACTCCTTTAGAGCTAGCTCTATTAAATCTATATGGTCCTAAAATTATTACTGGTTGTCCAAAACGAGTTAATCCAAATACTGCGCCTGAAATGAAGGTATATTTATTATACAAAAACAATTTCTTAACTTGAATCGAACAAAATAAACAAACCACATCTTTTATTAAAATATAAAATATTTTTACCGGCTAAATAAAATTAAAGGATAAATCAATAACTTTTGGGCATTGTAATTAGAAGACTTAATCTTTTCAAAAATACTTTTTATCTTTTCCGTATATCGTCCTTTTCCTTTACACCTAAAACAAGAACGTCTCTTATCTCTCTTTATAATTATTTTTCAGTTTATTATTTTTGTCTAAATGGATAACGAATAAGTATGCGTATAAATAAAATGAGCTCTATTGAAATGATAATAAGGATATATTTTCATATTGAACATTAAAGCAATTCTATAATTAATTATTATCAAATACTACAAAAAATATGTTCCTATCTACTAGCAACAGGATAAACTTTAGAAGTAAGCAAAGGTGGCAAAATAATGAACTAGCTATAGGTATTGAAATAAAATGGCTATTTAATCAAAAAGTACTCCCTAACCGGAAATCGAACTTCTACACATTTATTATTTTCCTGCATTGTTTTCTTACATCAAAATCAGCTCTTTTTCGATATCAATCTTGATAAATTCAAATTGCAAAATCAACCTACATTATCGATATTTAAAAATTATTTAACAATTTAAATCAATATCCTTTGCAGATCGAACTTATGGCATTTTATATCAAAAGTTGCAACGGTGCATCTTAAAATATGTAGTAACTTAAACTCATATCAACAAGGTGAAACAAAACAACATCTACGAAATAACTTTTTGGTTTTGACTTTGAGTTTTTTTTCTACAACTATTATAAAGTCTCCAATTTCTACGGGCTATTTTTCTTTCGTACGGTGACATCTCCGATACTAATTTTCTTTGCCCGCTTTCCCTCTTCTTCAAATATTTTAGTCTCTCTTTTTCTCTAAGAACTGCTAATCTTTCGGGGTCACGCTTTATTTTCTCGTATCGAAGTCTTTCAGCTATTTTTTTCTTTTCTAAAAATTCTTCTCTACTCACTTTTTTCTTTGGTCGTTGCTTTTTAATTCCTGTAACATGTTAATTGATTGTGTAATTCCATTAGGTCACATATGTACATATATTACATTTATAAAATGTTTAAAGGAAAAAATTCCTTTATCACTAAAACATTTTTATGAAAAAAAACTATATCTTTTATTTTTTTTATAAAATGAGATAGAGATCTTTATGCAGGATTATATTTTAATAAAAAATTTCACAGCATGGCTTTAAAAAAAATTGCCGATTTTCTCTTAAAAGAACATGAGAGGATAAGCAAATATAAAGTTTATTTTATTTTTTTATTATTTTAATTTTTATATACACTTAGATAAAATATTTTACTATAGATTTTCTTTTTATCAGTGATTGTGAGGTTTTCGTTTAACAATTTCATTTTCCACTGTAAGAAGGGTAGCAGGACATCCTGAATGTACCTTCACGCATATCCACCTTTTACGATCCTTATTTTTGCTGCCACTCCATAAATTATATCGGTAAGAGCCCATTTGAATCACAGGTGTGCCATTTCGCGTTGTTAGAATCTCCGCAACTATAATAAGAACGATTTATAAAGCAATGTTCTATAGATATTAGGTATTATACAAGTAACAGGGAACAACTGGATAACCTTAAGCAAGGACAAGGAAACATGGAAGAATCTGGAGGAGGCCTTTACCCAAAAAGGGGTCCATATTTCAAATTAGATATATAATTTCAAGCTAACTAAACATACTTACAAGTAACAAAACTAAACATACTAACATAATATGTATAATAATAAATAAGTAAATTTACTAACAACTTACTAACTATGTTTGAATTGTATCTTGGAAATATGGAATAAATGGCTTTATTATTATTATTACTATAGATATTAGGTACACTTCAAGCATTGCATTTTTATATTTTAAACTTTAAAAAATAAATTTGAATCTGAAAAGAAAACAATTTAATAGAGGATTATTTTATTAACTTAGAATCCATTTAATATAATTAAGTAACTTTATTATTATTTATCAATTTAAAAAAAACATACTTTAAATACATATATCTACTTAAACTTATATATATATTATATTATAGACTATACATATTGACCTTTTTTAATAATTTATTACATCTCACCTCGAGGTACTAATACAGGTATGTATGTTATAGTAAGAAATAATCATGTTAGCAAATGTTACAATTTTCGCCTGGCAACCTTTGTGAGCGCGCACGCACACCCATCTGATCCTCTCGCCTTTAGAATCTGAGTACTTTTTGTTAAAACGATGAATCCCTATCTGAATTACTGGCTGCCCATACCTTGACGTAGCGAATACGGCTCCTGTAAAATGAGTAAAAGCCTTGAAATAAAAAATATAATATTTAAAATAGTAATTTTCAATTAAAGGCTCAAATCGTGTTTTCATATACCTACGCAATAAGACGATGTTGCTTTAAACTCGGCTTTAATTGGTATGGTATTAAAATAGCACTAAATAATAGTATTCAATAATTGCAAATATATGTCTCTACATATTTAGCAATATTTAATTTAGACGCAATTATTTATACAGTATAATAAGCACACAACCACTTCTGTAAATAATCAGGTACAGTGCTGGATTAGCTGTAATAGTTCAAAAAACAAAGATTAATTCCCAAAAAAACTGCAAATAGCCAAATATGATAAACTTGCATAACGTAAATTTGGTGATAAAAATTTGCTAGCATTAACCACAAAATACAAACGTATTACACCTAACTTTAAACAAAATGCTGTCGTCATATATACAATTTACGAGTAGGTATATGCACAAATTTAAAACAAAATAGATGTAAAAAAACGTTCTATAAGCAATTTATTAGATTCCTACACTATATTTTTTACCAAGAAACATTTATACATAAATCAAAAGAATGTTATTATATTGTTACAGCTAGCCACGTTAAAATGTCTGGAATAAAAAATATTCAATTACAAAAATAATTATTTTATTATATATGAAAATCATCTTATTTACTTTAAAGTAATATACTCTTATACATAACTTAGTGATTATGTACATTATTCATCTTAACTATTTCCTCATCTATAGTTAAAAGTCTTGCCCTACAACCTTTCTGGTCATGGTTACAAATCCATCTCGCCTTAGGGCTTTTACTGCCTGTGCCTTTGCGAAATCTATACTGGCCTATTTGTATAACAAGGTTGCCAGAGCGAGATAAGAGGAATTGTGGAGCTGAAAATTGTGAAATAAAATCTATTAGAATCAGTACTGTACACTAATATTTTATTTTATTTTATTTATTTAGGTACAGAAACAGAAAACAAATTAAAAAAATTACATCTTCATATTAAAAACTAAAAATATCATATTAAATTTGTTCTCCAATTATGTCTGTACACAACATTCAAATGAAAAAATATAATAATTATATAAAGAAACTTAACCAAAAAAGTGAATTAATACAGTATGAGTCTGTGCATTTAAAGTAACGAGTACATAAGAAATATTAAAAAACAAAAACAAAATAATATTTACATTTCATGTGGAAAAAAAGGCAAAGAAAAGAAAAAAAGATAAAGGAGTAGAAACAGAGAGAAAATATATCTTTATTATCGAAAATGTAAAGTAAGAACTATAATTTATTTAATTTTTTCTTGAACGATAATAAACTATTATTAAAAATGTCGTATTCATCATTTAAACTATTGTATGTTTTACACATTCTGTGTAAAGGGTTGTTTTGGGAAACGTTATTACTTGCCGAAGGTATATTAAAAAGTTGTGGCTGACGAATCGAGTGAGTATGAATTTTAAATTCCAGTTTTTCTAGTAATTTACTGTTGAAATCGCCATTGGCTATTTTATGGAGGATACATAAATCTGATATAACACGCCGATCTTCCAGGCTTTTTAGTTTGTATTTATGAAGCCTGTCAGTGTAAGTTGGTAATTCACGCCTGAGACCTTGCCTCCTGCTTAATATTTTTAGAAATTTACGTTGTATAGCCTCGATTCTGTTAATATGAATATCATATATTGGTTTCCATACGGAAGAGCAGTATTCAAGTATGCTTCTTACTATAGTGACATACAAAACTATCCACGAGATTGAATTTTTGAAAGGTTGGGCAGTTCGGATGATAAAACCGAGTGATCTATTTGCTTTACTTGTAATGTAATCTATATGAGGCCTAAAAGATAAGGTTGAATCAAATATAACACCTAGGTCCCGTACTACTTTGACTCTAGAAATAACGGTGCCTGCTATGTTGTAGTCGAACAATATTGGAACTTTATTTTTTGTAAATGAAATGATATAACATTTATTTTTATTAAGCTCCATCAAATTTTCATCACACCACATTCGGATAGAGTCGAGATCACGCTGAAGAATTTTACAATCTTCTCTTTTAGTGACTTGGAAAAAGATTTTTATATCATCAGCATATGCGAGGCATTTACTATTTATCAAAGACAGTAGGTCATTGATAAATATCAAAAATAACAAAGGGCCTAAAATAGATCCTTGTGGTACACCAGAGGTGGCTAGAAATGGAAATGATTCATACCCGTATAGAGCTACTAATTGAGAACGGCTATCCAGATAAGAGCATAGCCAACGATAAAGATTACCATGTATGCCCAGATGATAATAGATAATAGTATTGTGTGATTTACTCGATCAAACGCCTTGGAGAAATCAAGATATATTGAATCTACTTGAGTCTTTGTATCAAATGATTCACATAAAAAAGTGGTATAAACTAATAAATTGGAAGTTGTGGAGCAACCAGATACGAAACCATGTTGTTTAATGTTAAGATGTGGTTTTATATGACTGTACAGTTGTTTATAGATCATAGTTTCAAAAATTTTAGCAAAGCAGTTTAAGATAGAAATTGGTCGATAATTTCTGACATCACTCTTATCGCCTGATTTATAAATAGGGGTGATTTTAGCAATTTTCCATAAAGATGGAAATATACCATTTAAAACTGATTTATTATAAATGATTGTTAATGGTTTTGATAATGCAGAAGAACAAATTTTTATAAAAATTGGTGGAATACCATCAGAGCCCGATCCTTTAGAAATATTAATTGATTTGAGTTGAAGTTCAACTGCGTCTGCGGAAAATTGTAAATTACTTATAGAAAAAATAGATGGAGGGAATTTTGGTGTATAATTAATAGATGATATATTTCCATAAACAGTTGAAAAATATTCAGCAAAAAGATTAGTAATATCAATACCAGATTCAGCTACTCTATTATTAAAATGCAGCTGTTTAGGGATATTATTAGTTACTCTCTTATTTTTAGTGTAACGATAAAAAGTTTTAATATTTTTAATTAAATTATTTTCTATATTTGATATATAAGACCTAAAACATATTTCAGTTTGTTGTTTAACTCTTGTTCTTAGGAGAGCAAAAGTATCATAGTCTCTTGGATTATTGTAAATTTTGAAAAGTGTATGATATTTATTCTTGCTTTTGATAAGTTTAATTAAACTTTTTGAAAACCAAAAAGGGTATCTATTATTGCGTTGTTTAGATTTTGGTGTGTATTTTTCTATTATTGAATACAAAATATTATAAAAAATTGTACATATTCATCGCAACTAAGTATATTAGCATGTCTTTCCCAATCAATTTGTTTTAATTCTTTAATACAGTTAATATAATCGGTTTTATAACAACACAATTTGGTAATTGGAGTATTTTCAAGAAGATAGGTGACCTTGCCATAATTAAATATAATTTCAAATGGAGGATGATGACAATCGAGGCGGCTTATAGGCATAGCTTTAACTAAATTAAATTTGTCCGGTTGATCAGTCAATACAAGATCAAGAATTTAGTTGTTAAGATTTGTAAGTGAATTAAGTTGTTTCAATGCTGTTAAATTAATGAGATCAAATAGAGCTTTAGATTTTTCACAAGTATAATTTATGGGATGACCTGGTGATTTAGACCAAGTCAAATTAGGGAGATTGAAATCACCCATTATACATGTTATACAACCGGGAAACATGCTGACAACCCTATTACATTTGTTTATAAAATCATCGAAAATATTATATGGTAAATATTCTGGAATATATGCAGTACATAAATTTAAGGTACAGTGACTATTTAGTTTTATTTGTAACCATAGATCTTCTAGTATGTCAGATTTCCATTCATGCTTAATATCAAAATTAATTTTTTTAGAGATAGCTATTAGTACGCCGCCACCTCGATATTTATTAAAGCGTTTTGAAAAAATTAGATCTCGATCCCTTCTTACTACCTCATACCTATTGTCAAAGAATTCTGTTGAAAGAACGGAGTTGTCAAGCCAAGTTTCGGTAAGACATAATATATCGTAATTTTGACTTATAATATTATTACAAATCTCAGTGATTTTAGTTTTCATACCACGAATATTTTGGTAATATATTGAGAGAGCCATATTTAAAAATTAATGCTAAAAATAATTTAGTAGAATAAAATTAACGAATAGACTTAACGCTATCCATATTTTGATATGAATAAATGGAGAGTTTTCATCCTTTCTAACGTAAATTCGGCAGTTTCGAACCCATGTGAATTTATACTGTAATTCTTTAGCCTTTTGACGAGCAGCAGCATGTAGAGCTTTGTTAGCAGGAGAAAGATGCTCGGAAACATAAACTGGCTTCTTCTCGTTGGACATTCCGATCAAAGAGGTATTAAGTTTGTTATCTGGATGAGTTTTGTTATATCTGTAAACTGCTGAATAAAATTCGTCACGTCGTCTAATATTTTTAAACTTTATTATGATTGAACGAGGCTTTTCACTCTTTCTGTTTTGTTTAGCTACTCTCGTGAAATGAACAATATCATCATCCGCTATATTGTGACCAATAACATTGGCACATTTTTGAATTATGTTGGGGATATTTTCATTATAATGTTCGGGTATACCATTCAATTCTAAGTTTTCTTGTCGAAGGTGTTGCTCTAAAATATTGATACGATCGGATAAATCAGTAACGGTTGTTTGAAGTACGGAGTTTTCATTCCGTAGACTTTTATTATCATTAGACAACTCTTCGATTTTTACCTTCATTTCATCATGCATTTCACTGAGGAAACTAACTGATTTGCATAAATCATGAACCTCTTGTGATAGTGTAGATAGTTCACTTTTTATTACCTTCGATAGCATTGTTGGAATTTCTATTTTTATTGCTTCCAAGACTTGGTATCGAATAGCTGCAATGGCGTTGTCATCTAAGCTTGTGCTAGTGGAAATGGAAGGTGAGTTAAATGATTTTGGTTTACGCGTAGTTATATTTGAGTCATGAGATTCGGATAAGACGTCTTTCTGTCCTTCATCAAAGGCGAATATCGTTCTAATTGGAGTATTTGTATTGCAAATTTTAGGTTGCTTATTTTTACACGCTTGACACTTCCAAATATTTTTAGTATCCTTTGAGTTAATCTTCTTTTCGGAGACGTTAGCACACACTGCATCATAAGTTTGGTTACACAGACAACATTTGATATATTTATTATTATCAATTTTTTTCAAGCATCCTGCACATATTCGCGATTCACAAGACATAGTTATATTTTATTAGATTAATTTTATAATTTATATTAAATAATATGCAAAAACTATTGTATTTTTTTTAAATAAAACTATCTTACAACTATATAACATACTCATATATTATCTTACAAAAAAAATCCGCGGAAAAATCCGAAAATATAGTTTTATTTAAAATGCCAAATATTTGCGTTAATTTAACAAGGTATTATGTATTAAAGATCTTGGGCTCTGAGAAGGTGGTAAACATTTTTTGTCAGAAACACAAATATTTCCGAATTCGACAACGACAGGTACGCTGTTATAAAATTCGATTAAGTACGAAAAGTATATTCAAATTTCAAATTAATTTACAATAAAGAATTACAAATATACTTAATTATATATACAAAACCGATATTTATATGTATTATAAATTAAGTATACTTAATTATATATTAAGTGCCGGTCGAACTTGTATGAAAATACACTAATTCGAGCTTATGATTATTAAAAGTATTTTTTTTTATTTTTGTAATTTAAAGTTAAATTATTTGCAGCTTTTTTTAATATTCGACTTAGACAATTGAAAGTTTATCTAACAATTTGTTTTACAAAATTATTTTTAAATATTTAATTTTGAACATATTTTTGTAATCGCTTTTTAAACCTTCAATGCAAGATTTGCAAGATTTTCATTCCGCCATATTGATTTTTTATAATTTTAATATAGCCTATATCACTCACGTTATAGTTTTATAATTACTATTGAACATACGTACGAATAGGTCAAACACATAACCTTCATTTTGACTTCGCCGGGATAAAATGCGAGCAAAAAAACAACATGATAAGTTATAAGTTAACAAATTTTATTAGATACTAATGTTATAATCATTTTTTCTATAATACATATAGTAAGTACATGTTTAACACACTGTTCAAACACCTTGAAATACTTAGATGTTTGTACTAATTGTTCTTAGGTATGATTGTGATTATCATTGTAATACGTAATTTTGTTATCAACGGTCCATATCTTCGATCTACATCCCTTGTTATCAAAGTTGCATATCCACCGGGACCTGCCACCTCTAGTACTCCTCTTCCTAAACTTAAACACTCCTATCTGAATCATGGGGTTTCCGGACCGAGAGCTTATAAACATTGCTCCTACAATAAGAATTTTACGTATAAGTTCACAACCATTTTGTAATCATATACATTATACATATTATAAATAATAACATTAAATCAGCTATATATTATTACTAGCGACTCACCCTCGCTTCGCTCGCGTTCGTCCCTAGGTTGTTTCCCCATACAAAATTTTATCCCCATTTTCATCCGGATGATTTCCGGAATAGTCTCAAACTATCTTCTTACCAAATTTTATCTAAATCGGTCCAGTACTTTTTGAGTTTATTCATTACAAATATACAAAAATGCAAATCTTTCCTCTTTATACTCGTAATAGTAATGTAAATGTAGATTTGAGGTTAAGCTTTACAGAAACATTAAAAAAATAGAAATCCGACAGTAAAGTTCATTTACATACAAACACACATATTGATGGATAGTCGAATAAAAAGTAAAATATATAAAAGACTAAAGTTTTGGCCCGCGGCTTCACTAGTAAGGTAAGTCAAGAAATATTAGGCTTGTTAATTTAGGTAATAATATATTCTGAATTTAATTACTATCTTTTTTGTCAAAATAGTTACAGCGTAAAGGAGTAAAAACAGTCGCATTATGATAATGATTTCATAGTTTTGACGACACGTTTGGTTCGGTTTGTAGTGACCCTTTTTTTTTTTTTTTTTAACGTTGGGAAATGCATTTACGCACGAGGTGTGGGACTCACCGGCAAAGCCAGTACTACCCACTAAAACCCAACAAAGCCTTCCCCCGTCTTAATGGGGCGTCGCAGGATCGCTTACGCATTCAACTACGACGCCCCGACGGCAGGTCTGCCGAAGCAGACCACCATAACCATGGGGTTGCTCCAAGGTCCACTCTGCTATCAGAGAAGTACCAGGAGCAACCCGCATGGTACACCGCCCTCCGAAGAGGGCCACCTCCCACCGCCCACCGAAGTGGGCCACCTCCCTGTGCGTTTCTTGGCTTCGCGCCCGGTTGGGTTGCCGAGCACTACTGAGCCCCCCCACCACGACAAGGTGAACGCACGTTGGGGGGGAGTTTGTAGTGACCCTACTTGATGTGCCAACGGTCGCGAGTTCGAGTCCCGCTGGGTGCATTTATTTGTGATGAGCACAGATGTTTGTACTTCAGTCATGGGTGTTTATATTTATAATATGTATGTATTTAAAATTATATATGTGAGTCAACTATTTGGTATCCATAACAAAAGCCTCGTAGCTTACCATGGAACTAGATGGTGTTGTGTGTTTTTTCAAACGAATTTCTTGGCATGTCTAGAAATTGCAATAAAAATATCTACATATAATACTTACTTAAACCAAATAAGGATTTAACATCGGACTAAAGGTCAATAAGCTATTAACATATGCATGTCCGTCCGGTCACTGTAAATAAAATAGATTTAAAAAACGTAAAATCCTTGAAATATATGGAAATAAATTTAAACTACTCTATTTCGATATCTTATTTTTTTTATTTTAGTACAAATTGTTGAACAGATATTTAATTTAAGAATAATTTCTACAAATATAACGTATTTATGAAATATTAACATTTTTTTATTTTTTTGTAATCATTCTATTATTAGTAAATACGTAACTTCATAAAATATATCTGACAAGTGATAACAAATACATGTAGTATTATGAAATTAATAAGTACATCTCAAGAACGCTAGATAATATTGCCTAGAAATTAAAATAGATATTTTTATGCTTTACAACTTTTGTAAGACCTGCAAAGGTCATTTTGAGCAAATAAGGAAAACAATTTTCGTGACATTTGCTTTTTTGTTACAATTTGCAGGTGACGAATGCGTAATCTTATATAACTTAACAAATTTCGAGGTTTATCCTTTTTTGCCTCCTTAGACTAACCTTAACACTGATTTTGAGTTTCACACGTAGTAAATTTATTATTAATAATAATATTTGTTTAAGTCGATATGTTAAAGACAAAAGTGCTCCGTAAATCTTAAAAATTTAAATACACTTTAAACGTAAATTCCCGTGACACCGGAATAACTTAAAGAACTACCATAACCCATCGCCTAAAAATTCCAAAAAATATACACACCTATATTATAATCTAAAATATCTTATATACATATATAATTATTACATATACATAATAATAAATGATTATTTTAACTTAAGATTATTTTTTATAAAATCAATGGTTGTGTTCTATATGAGCCATTACAATCTTGTTGTTTATTGTCAACAATTTCGCCTTACAGCCTATGTGGTCGTAGTTGCAAATCCACCGGATTCGAGGACCAGTTCTTTTGCCGGATATTCTGTATTTGTAGTTATCGATCATTATCAAAGGGTTGCCGTGTCGGGACGGGACGAAAACAGGCTCTGTTATATCTACAAGTTCAATGAAGTGAAGTAGAATTAATTACATAATGATAAAAAAGTAACTAAATATTCAATTAAAAATTGGTTTGCTTGGTTATAATAGTCGCTAAAGGTATATAAGTAAAAATTATGTTGAAAATAAAATATGTTTGAATAGCTATAAAAAAAGGATAGAGAAGAAAAAATGTTTAGGATATGTTGAATAAGGAAATGGAAAAATATAAATATAAGTTTTACATCATACTTTGGTCATAATTGCACAAAGCTGATATTATGTTATTTAACAATTTATAATATAGTATCAACTTGTACTGTCTTCGTTAGGCTTTTCTTTTTTTTTTAACGTTCGGAAATGCATTTACGCACGAAGTGTGGGACTCACCGGCGAAGCCAGTACTACCCACTAAAACCCAACAAAACCTTCCCCCGTCTTAATGGGGCGTCGCAGGATCGCTTACGCATTCAACTACGACGCCCCGACGGCAGGTCTGCCGAAGCAGACCACAACAACCACGGGGTTGCTCCAAGGTCCACTCTGCTATCAGAGAAGTACCAGGAGCAACCCGCATACACCGCCCTCTGAAGAGGGCCACCTCTCACCGCCCACCGAAGCGGGCCACCTCCCTGTGCGTTTCTTGGCTTCGCGCTCGGCGCCAGCTCCCCACTCAACGATAAGGTGAACGCACGTTGGGGTGGATCTTCGTCAGGCTACTTTTTAGGGGTCCGTACCAAAAAGTAACAAATGATGAAAATATTTTCCATACTAACGTTTTTGCACCCTTTTAGGATGCATGGGGTATGACTATGTACATATACATATGTATGTATTAAATTCTATTATTTCAAACTAACACTTTTCTTACATGATACGTCTTCAAAATACTACACAAAGGAAATGTCACGTGAGTAAACAAAAAATAACATTTTATAATAATTTAACAATGTTTATTTGTTTTGTAATTTATTCTAATACATATATACAAACAAAAAATGAAACCAACTACAATTTACAAAAAAAATAAATGCTTTGTACATGGCTGTACTTAAGTATGGTTGTGTTTATCATTATAATATACAATTTCGTTATCAATGGTCCAAACTTTCGATCTACACCCCTTGTTATCTAAGTTGCATATCCATCGGGCCCTGGCACCTCTACTGCCACTCCATTTTCTAAACTTAAATTCTCCTATCTGAATCATGGGGTTTCCCGACCGAGACTTTATGAACATTGCTCCTATAATAAGAATTTTATTTATAAGTTTACAATTATTTTGTTACTATGTCATGAATATGAAAAATTATTATTGTTGTTTGAAGTTAGGGTTTTATAGATATATAAGCAGTAAATAATTTAAATAAAATTTAAATTTATGGCTCTGCAAGAATATTAGGGTTTCGTATGTACCTCAAACTGTGTCTGTCTGACTGTGAATTTATCTTTCACATCCTTTTTTCTCCTAATGTGCAAAAAAAAAATTAAAGGCGTGTCATATATGCAAAATTAATAAA